AGGTACTGCCTTTTTATCTCCATTATTATATATACTCAAATATAGCGCTACATCTACCTTGTATTTTTCCAAAATTAAGCAGTGGGCATGGTAATCAGTGACGGCGGTCCGTCACACTATATATATATATATTATTTGTAGTCGGGGCAATATAGCCATGATGATAAGGTAACATAGCATATTATAATCAATAAACATATTTTAAATGACACCATTCGGTTGTGGTGTGCCGGAACCGACAATGCAGTAGGTCTGTATTAAAAGAGGGCCCACCTTAGAGGGTGATGTGAATAGAAGGAGTGGGGGGGGGTGACTTGCCAGACCAACAACGGTAAGGTGGGAGAGGATTGACAGCCCTTTTAAAGGGATTTCAAGCCCCTCCCAAACTACAGGTCAAGGCCTTAAATTTGTAGTTGGGCAATATAGCCGTGATGATAAGGTAACATAGCATATTATAACCAATAAACATATTTCAAATGACAATATAAAGAGTATAAGCGGGAGATTTCCAGCGTCCCATAGCTTTGATGATATGAGCTGGAATGTGGTTGGAGGAAGCTGAAGATGCTGCCCCTATGCGGAAGGAATGCCCTAAGAAAAGTTTTGCATTTAGACCGAGCCTAGTTAACAGTAAGAGAACATAAAGCATGAATTTAGACAAGGTAAGGATGAAGTGATAGAACATAATGATCTAAGGTTTTGTGGATTTTTCATGTATTCTGTGGCAGTTATATTTCTAGTGGTAAATTCTTTTGCACATAGAACCCCAGAGAATGCTAGGTAGATGGCAATTTTATTACCATATTGGTCATGTGTTCAAAAGGAGCTGAATCTAATAAGTCGGATAGTGAATGAAATATTTTGTTGTGGATGGGTAGTCTTTGAGATGGTATGTGTGTATTAATCTTTTGAATTCCTTTACAGTAAGGTCTTTATCTGATATGATGATAGGAATTCTGTGTTGTTGGGGTGTCGTAGAAGCATGTGGTGTTGGATGCCTGTAAGGTAACATACCATGAACTTGAAACTCTATGAAACGCTATAACCTTAGTGAAGATGTGAAAATCCCTATTATATGATTTCCTAGTGTTGACTGAAAGTGCAAGGTGAGATAAGTGACGTGCATGGGTCTGGGTCAATAAGACATTTAATCCATGAGTATGTCTTGGAATGGAGGGGGCAGGGGTAGCCAACCTGGAAGCGGTGGGCAGTGTCTGGAAAAAAGCCTGAAAATGAAACTGAGACAAGTGGTGAGCTGAAATGTTTGTGAAACCAGGAAGTGAATACATGTGATAAGAAATTGGCAAGTTGCCGCTACTTATGTGAGTTTCCTCAATATTCCCTTGATGACCAAAGATGATGATCGGCCTTTATTCATAATGTGGCAAGTGGCTAGGTTGTTTGAATAACATCTGACCGAGTGACTGGACCATTTTGGTCCCCAGGCAATGGCAGCTGCCACAATCGGATATAATTCGAACAAGGCTGAAGTAGAGGAGAAGCTGGGCAGAGACTAAACGTCTGTAGGCCATGAACACCACAGCCATTGATCTCCCCAGATGGCTGCAAAACCAGTGTTTCCCGCAGCATCTATCCAAATGGTGTGTGAAATGTCAGAGAGGGGGGGAGAATAAACATGGCTCGCCCATTCCAAGATGTGAGAAAAAAGCGCCACATGATTAAATCAGAGGTTGCGTGAGTATCTAACGTGATACGTGTTTCGTCTGAAGTGAGTTGTGGGAATAAATAGAGTAAATGGGAAATGAAGGATCTACCTTGTGGGATGATCCTCATGGCAAAATTAAGGATTGAAGTTCCCTGTGGTTGCAAGAACCTAGTTGCAAGTAGTGCTCAATGCTCAATAGGGTGCGCTCAGTCTCATCCTGGGGAAGGCTAGCTTGCATGTTAATCCACAAAAATTGCATGATCGTATCTGGGGGGGGTGGGGGGGGGAGGGAGGCTGGTATAGCCAGGGACTCAAAAAGAGCCAACATGTGTGTAGGGCTGCTAGGGGGGAGTGCGTTGTTTTTAATCGTGAGAAAATCGTTTAGGTAGTGAATAACGTATGAACATCTGCACACATTAAGCAATAAACACAAAGTATCAGCAAAAGTATCAAAAATTTGGGGGCTGCTCTTGGAGCCAAAAGTGAGTTGTGAGAAAAATAATAAAGCCCTTGCCACTTAATGCCATGCAGATGCCATAGTGAAGGGTGAGTGGGAAGCAATTTAAAAGCATGACAATGTCCGTTTTACTGAGCCATGTGCCTGTACCAGCCACCAAAATGGCCCAAATGGTATTGTCAATAGTGGCATATTGTAAGGAAGATTCATCGGAGGACATGACGGAATTAAGGCTGGGAATAGTGGAGGAATGCGGTGTTAAGTCTATGGTTAGTCTGGGTTTAAGTGAAGTGTTCCCTGTGACAACCCCTATGGCGTTGGTTCTCCAGGATGTGAAAGGTGGGGAACCAAAAGGCCCCAACAAAAACCCTTGATCTACTTCAGTCCTTATGAGTGTACACACCAACTCTGGGTCTGTTAAAGTGGTTTGCAAATTGTTGCATTCTAGTGTCCCAGTTGTTAATTGTACTAAACTCATGTGGAACCCCACAGACAGCCCTTCGATGATAAACTTAACCAAATGCTGTGAGGGATGGTGTTGTAACAGTGCAGCCAACCATGTGACGTTGATGCAAGGGTGGTAAGGTTTAGGAAAACTTTATTCGGGCACATGGATTTTGCATGAGCCCGGAAACAATGAGAACAAACGTATAACAACCTACATGAACTAAAACCACAAGTGCCTCAGGAACTTGATACATAACTGAAAATATCTATATATGTAACTTAAAGGGACACTACAGTCACCTGAACAACTTTAGCTTAATGAAGCAGTGTTGGTGTACAGAACATGCTCCTGCAGCCTCACTGCTCAATCCTCTGCCATTTAGGAGTTAAATCCCTTTGTTTATGAACCCTAGTCACACCTCCCTGCATGTGACTTGCACAGCCTTCCATAAACACTTCCTGTAAAGAGAGCCCTATTTAGGCTTTCTTTATTGCAAGTTCTGTTTAATTAAGATTTTCTTATCCCCTGCTATGTTAATAGCTTGCTAGACCCTGCAAGAGCCTCCTGTATGTGATTAAAGTTAAATTTAGAGATTGAGATACAATTACTTAAGGTAAATTACATCTGTTTGAAAGAGAAACCAGTTTTTTTTCATGCAGGCTCTGTCAATCATAGCCAAGGGAGGTGTGGCTAGGGCTGCATAAACAGAAACAAAGTGAATTGAGCAGTGAAATTGCAGGGGAATGATCTATATACTAAAACGGCTTTATTTAGCTTAAGTAATTTAGGTGACTATAGTGTTCCTTTAATTACTATAAGTGAGACAAAGAGACAGGGTACTGGCAGGCTAGCTAGAAGCCAAGCGGCAAAGAATTATGCTACCTGAACGTGACAAATGAGTCCTACTAATTGCCAAGCGGCGTGAGAGGTGCTAACTATTCGTTGGCACGAGGGGAGTTTGAGTCCAATGAAATGTTGTTGCGGGGTGTTGGCCTCTCGTTGTAACTAAAGCATAGGATAGAAGAAGTGACATGGGAGGCCCTTTGTATGCGACAATGCAAGGCGGCTACCTATGATTTGGGCCGAGGGACGTATACCTCCGAGTATGAGGATGAGTGTTGGTCTTGTGGGACCACTAGCTGATGGATTAAGACCAGAAAACAGATACCTAGTTGGACAACCTAACTCTCAAAAGCCAGTACCACTCTAGAATAGAAAAGGTACAGGGTTGTGAAATCATACCTGATAAAGTTTGAGTCAGGATGAGATTCTATGCAGAAATATAGGAACGAGAGGGTGACAATAGATACGTGCTGCAACCCATAGATAAGATGTGATGAGTATCTGTGCGTATAGATTTATGTGAGTGGGCCAGATCGTGGGTCCGAACAATAAAAGGAAACCTACCAGAACCTATAGATGAGCAGTGAAAATATGACAGAGGCAGATAACTGAATTGTAGTGCTTGTAAAGCAGCCGTCATGTATGGCAAGGCACCTAAAGGAATGCGAGATGTTAATGCCCACTATAAAATAAAGCTTTCAATGAGTACAACCTTAAACCCAATTACCAACCTAATAAGGCCAAGTATTGACAAAGCTGTCACAAAATCTTAAGCTTAATTTCCTGCAACGAAACCTGTGGGAACATCGTGACAAATGTCAGCTAAAAGATAATTAATTAAACAGCCGAATTCATTATATTTACAGTGTGATAGTGGCTAAAGTTTTAAAATAAAACAAGAAAGTATCAGCGCTATTTGAGTGTAGTATCTTAAAATTTATATATAATCCAAGCAGCTGCTAACCACCGTGAGAATCTTTTAAACAAGAGTGATAGAAAGTAGTAGGTAGTAACGGTGTAGCGCTTATGTGCAGAATTGAATATAAAAAAGTTTACCCAATTTTTCTTCTATGTTAATCAGTTATTCTTTGTTAACCTTAAGGTAAAATAGAAAAAATACATAACATAGTGCAGATTGTATGTAAATAGGTGAGAATAATTTTAAAGTAAGGGCCAAATGGCAACTCACAATTTTCTGAGCTATAAATCTAGCTCAGAATTAGGTGCTTTAGGATCCATATAGGCGACCCTCTCCCTTCTTCTCCTTTCTTTGATCCAGTCCTATATGGATACAGGAGGGGGTATATAGTGTAGTATAGTTGGTATTATTATGAGTATTTTAAAATAGTAAATGAGGTACTCACAAACCCAGAGCCAGTCTATAGGCTCACTTCAATGTGCATATGTGGTTTAAGGACCACACTCCTTCTTTAAATTAGCAGGAAAAAAGCCATAAGAGTATTAAAAAATATATCTCATTTATTGACTATAAAAATTGTAACACATTATAAAAATATATATATATATGTAGAAAAATAAAACACTTATATGGCTAAAATAAAGTCCAATAAAGTCCAAAATGAAGTTTTCAGTGCTCACTTCGCTTTCCAGAACGCGTTTCTGTGACAGAATTTAACCAGCTGAAGAAGCCACCTGGCGAAACGCGTTCTGGAAAGCGAAGTGAGCACTGAAAACTTCATTTTGGACTTTATTGGACTTTATTTTAGCCATATAAGTGTTTTATTTTTCTACATATATATATATATATTTTTATAATGTGTTACAATTTTTATAGTCAATAAATGAGATATATTTTTTAATACACTTATGGCTTTTTTCCTGCTAATTTAAAGAAGGAGTGTGGTCCTTAAACCACATATGCACATTGAAGTGAGCCTATAGACTGGCTCTGGGTTTGTGAGTACCTCATTTACTATTTTAAAATACTCATAATAATACCAACTATACTACACTATATACCCCCTCCTGTATCCATATAGGACTGGATCAAAGAAAGGAGAAGAAGGGAGAGGGTCGCCTATACGGATCCTAAAGCACCTAATTCTGAGCTAGATTTATAGCTCAGAAAATTGTGAGTTGCCATTTGGCCCTTACTTTAAAATTATTCTCACCTATTTACATACAATCTGCACTATGTTATGTATTTTTTCTATTTTACCTTAAGGTTAACAAAGAATAACTGATTAACATAGAAGAAAAATTGGGTAAAGTTTTAAAATAACCTATTATGTATGCACTTTAATGGGTTTTTTTTGTTATACATAATCAATCGGAAATGGCTTTAGGACCATTCCATATTTTTCCATGTAGCACTTGTAATGTTTTTGTGATCAAACATTATTTACCAGAAGAAAGAGAAACAAAATTCATGTGTATTCGTTCCCACACCATATAAAGATAACCCATACTTTGTAGTCTGGTTGTGTTATCACATTATCTATGCACCCCATCTAAAGGAACAGTCAGATTGTTTATGTTCCACTGGTTTTATCTGCACTCATTAAGAAAATAACTCACTCTTTTTTTTTTCTACCACTGGGAATGCGTTTTCACAATCTGACAAGACTAAGGTCTTTGGTAGTTGAAGTATTTCTGGTTCACTTTTTCAATTACATCACAGACACTGGAAATGATTCATGCACACTTATGTTGATAGTTTTACTGCTTTGATTTCACAAAAACACTGTAATCTAATCAAACTACTTAAAATTTAAGGACTATTCCGTTGTAATTAATCACATTTTTAGTAACATATTCCAAAACTCTGAAACATTATACAATAGAAGTAGAGTGGCTTACATAAAGTGTTACTACATCGGTAGTAAGAAAGGATCCTGAATAGGCATTTAAGAATATACATCTAAATAGAATGGAAACAAAATTAGAAGGACAGCTAAACAAATATAACTCAAGCAGAGAAATTGCACTCAACTTTAACAAATAGTAGGAATGACAGTGGTAGGTTTTTCGGCATATGCTTAACATACCCCCCCAAAAAACAACCACAAATACTCGGACACCTCTATTTGGGAAAATTATCGCTTTAATAATATATAAATAATACTTAAAATATTTTAAGGTCATTGTCACATATTAACATAGCATATCAACCCCAACTCCTTTAACAATACTACCCCAGACAATGATCCACATCACAATAGTATAACCACATTATAATATATAATTAACATACAAACATTGCCACCAAGGGCACCCTACACACACCAGGTTCTGAGCTACCAACGAGCTTGAACCTACCAATACCCTTCCAAATGTAACTGTTCTCAGTGAACCAAACTATTTTACATCAGGACAAACATCCTACACCCCAACTTCTCCATCCATCCCCCGCCGCCGTGACCAAACGGGAGCTAACACCAAAATAAGGGAGGGATGGTGGGACAAAACAAGTAAGTGAGGGTAAATTAAGATGGCCCCTGATCTAAAATGGCCACTATATATAATCCTCCAGAACAAACCCCACCTCCAGTTATACTAGCCAGCCCCCCCCACTACACCACTCCTATGCCTGTCTCCTAGCAATGTCAAGGTCCAGTCCCTTTAGCTGTGCTTCTCCATGCGCTACATTCCAATCCATCTGTGCCTCACTAAAGAAGGTACTTACTGTTTGCTCAGGTGCTCAGCTGCCTGGTTCTGGTTTTCTTGGCTGCTTGACCCAGCCTCCCCTCCCCCAAAAAATATCAAGTTATAATCTACAGATATACTTTTCTAACTCCTAACTAAATATACCAAAACTTGTCATCAGCAGATAGACTTCAGTTAAAATCATGTAGAAGCAATATTTAATAGCATTTCCCAATCAATCACAGGAAACTTCAAATCTCCTTAGCATGTTCCATACCATCCAAGAATTAGTGGGCTGCAAAATTCCTCAAAATGGCATGACAACACACTTTGGCCTAGGTGCACACAGGGTTAAATCCCTGTAGAGAGTCAAAAATGGGTCGAAAGAGAATACTGAGGACGGGCAGCAGCTGAAATAGCCTGCCCTTCGGTTGGTCCCCGCTCAGTTCTCAAGCTGATTTTTGCTCATCTTGTGCCATTACAGAGAGAACATATCTGAAGCATATCAGACTGGTCCCACCCATACGGGCAGTCCAGATCCGAAATGCCAGCAAGTTCTCTCTGCACGAGAGATACAGCAACCCCAGACGATCGTTTCAGCCTTGTTAGGCATCATCAGTGAAGCATAGCTGATATCTCCCTAGGCACCGTGAGCAAGGGGTCCACGTCTGGATTATCCCTTTAAACTTGTAGAGAGTCAAAAATGGGTCGCAAGAGAATACTGAGGACGGGCAGCAGCTGAAATAGCCTGCCCTTCGGTCGGTCCCCGCTCAGTTCTCAAGCTGATTTTTGCTCATCTTGTGCCATTACAGAGAGAACATATCTGAAGCATATCAGACTGGTCCCACCCATACGGGCAGTCCAGATCCGAAATGCCAGCAAGTTCTCTCTGCACGAGAGATACAGCAACCCCAGACGATCGTTTCAGCCTTGTTAGGCATCATCAGTGAGGCATAGCTGATATCTCCCTAGGCACCGTGAGCAAGGGGTCCACGTCTGGATTATCCCTTTAAACTTGTAGAGAGTCAAAAATGGGTCGCAAGAGGTTAAATCCCTGCTTTCACAAGAGAAATTCCAGTATCAGTGAGTACCTCCAAACTCTAAATACAGATGTGGATGTAGGGGGATATGCAGGCTGCAGAGATAACTTGCTAACAGGATGTCTTGCTATCTCAAGAAAACGAGTTGTTTCCTCAAAATAAAAAGTTGTCTTGAGAAAATGTTGCTCTCTCGAAGTAAAAGTCATAAAAATATTAAACTACTTGGTCTCTTCGGGCTTCTATACCTTTCCCATCTTGAGTGCTTTGTAGGGAGTACTGTGATTGGTTGACTTGGAAGCCAATGTGATATAATGTGTAAAATATATTTCTATCTATCTATCTAACTATTCACCCTGAATTTCCTTAACAATTCTATAATAAACAGCAATAGAAAAATAAAAGCTGATGGCTCTACGACCCTGTAGACATCCAATTTAAAAATTGCAACACAATATGCAGAGCATATAATAGATATGCATGATTGATAGTAAGTTAGTAAGTGGCATTTGCAAGATTGACCTAGTTTACTTTAGGTCATCATTTGTCATTTTGAAATCTTTGCGCATTAACTAGTATATCTGCTTAGAAAAGAAATGAAACATGAAAAAATTTATTTATGCTTACATTTATTGTGGATAAGCAGGGTCCATCAGGTTGCCATTTTATATAATCATTTCAGATTGTTTATAACAGAATTTTACTGCGATTTCTGAAAAACAACAATAGTCAAAACATAACAAATATTTCCTTTTTGTTTACGTGCTTTGCTAATTGAATTGCTGTCATCCATTTAAAATCTCTTGTAGCCCGTTTGAGAGGCAGAAGCCCATACAAAGTTCATACATGACAGAAGCCAATATGTCAAAGACATTTAGCTTTACATTGTAATATTAAAGGACCACAGTAGACATGCATCCTCCATCATAGCATTAAAGGACAGCTACTAATTAATGGCCACCAACCGCATGAAACTCTGACAAATCACTGATGCATGTTCACAACATAAAGTTATGTTATTTACATATTAATTTTTGTAATCAGAATTTGTATTGTGATTCAATTGAAAAAAAACATATTAAATAAGTCTATGAAGTCAATTGGTTCTTCTGAATAAACATCATGTTTCTGTCTTCCCAATAGCAGAAGTGTATTCACTAGTTACTGTGGAAAAAAACAAGGAAGTGCTACACACAGGTATAAAAATAGTAGCTATAGCTCGTCTCACTGGAGCGCCATAGGAAGGACCTACACTCTTTCAATAGTAATCAAAATTCAAAAATCTATGGGCACCACAGCGTGGTGCAAATAATGACAGAGTTTATTTGTATCAAAGAACAAAACAAAATACAAGTTTCGGCCTAAGCCTTAATCAGGTACCACGCTGTGAAGCCCATGGATTTTTGAATTTTAGGTATTGTGGAAAGGTGACTCGTAAATCAAGACCAATAAAGAAATAAATAACACAAAAAACAAGTAGCCATTATTTAGAGCAACAAGTTATTAGGACATTATTTTGAGACTGACTTCTAAGAAGCTATCATTGTTCTCTCCATCCTCTTCTCTGGTCCGTCGCAGCTCTTCCAAACAGTGAAGCTATAAGAAGGTAATGCTGGCTAAGGTTTGTCCCAGAAGAAGCTGTTCTTCTCCAAGATATTTTTAAAGAAGGAATTTCTGACGAGTAAGTGAGATGGACATGTGGGCCTTTTTTAAACCCATCCAAGCACTATTCATGGTGGCATCAGAAAGGTGATCAGTGTGAGTTTCCGTGGTCTGGTGGTTGGGCAGCCAACCCAGATCACAATCTAGTGTAAGAATAACTATGCTATCTAGTTCAACCACACCAGTCAAAATCTCTTTCAGGTTAATAAAAAAATTGTTCTTGGATCCACACACTGTGCATATCAGACCTTTTTACTTTAACTTATAACATCTTATATAATGAATATGTAATTCATCATAATTGATAAATGATATATTCAATTGCCTTAGGAAATGTTTAATGACTACTTACCTCCTAATCAGCAGTGAAAAGGCAGTCATTTGGGA